GGAGCACCCGCCTGTGCGAGGCCGCCCCGCAGCAGCCAGGCGAGGGCCGGGCCTGTGCCCTGCTGCGGGCGAGGTGAAACCCGAGGGAGGAGGGAAAGAGGGAGGGATGGATGGAAGAAGTAGGTCTGGGCAGGGAAGGGACGTGGGAAATTGGGCGGCTCTGCCCAGCGAGCCGCTGTTATTGTATAATGCTGTTGTGCAAAGCGAAGAGGAGGTGTGTGGAGTTTCGAGCTCCCCCAGGCAGGACGGGTGGAGCAGCGGGGCCTCGTGTGACCGTGGCGGGTGTCGGGGGGAAGGGGCTGGGCCCCTTCTCCTTCCACAGGGCTCCCTCCCAGAGCGGCTTTAGGAGGTCACTCGTTACGGTGAGGCTACCTGTGAGCAAAGCCGTGGATCTGTTGGCTAGGAAACAATATGTTCGCCTCCACCTTCGGTTTGGGCATTTTGAGCAGGTGTGAGTTGTGTGATTTGGCCTTTCTGCAGGATTCCTGCATCCCGTAGGCCATAGCAGTCGGTTTCATATACCAAAGCAGTAGCGAAAAAGACCCCTTTGACTCAAAGGGGGATGAAATATCAACTGTGGATTCATTTTCTTTTTGAGCCATTCCTGAACCAAAGATTTAGAACTTTCCAAATTCATAGATGCCATGGGGAAGACACGTTAATGAGTTTTGTCATGTAGATTTTACTAGAACATTTACATTACAATAAAAAATGCAGATGTTTTTGGAAATTGAGAGATGCGGTGGTTGCTTGGCGCTTCTCGTGTAGGACCACCACGAACCATACATTTGTGTCCCTTTGAGATGACAGGGGAAAATGGTGGTACTGCAGGTTTTTAGTTCTCCCAAACAAAACTTGTGTATTGCATTTTTGCTGTAATTCTAAATCAGGCCTCTCATTTATACAGGCTAACAGGATCTTGTTTGTGATCCATGGGGCACTATTGAACATGGAGGCAGTTGCTTCTGAATGAAAACTTGCTGAAACTGGAAACAGCATCTGCTGGATCATGTGGGATCCGGGGCCCAGAGCCTTGTTTCTGCTTTTGTGTAAAATTTGATACAAAAATTCTTCTCAGCTTTGGAGACATTCTGCCAGCTGCAAATCCTATTGTCGTCTATTTTCAGACTTGTACAATACATGAACAGTAAGGGATCCTGAGTTGTGGCTGTCACTTTGTAATAGCAGATAAAGAAAATGTTCTATCAGATGTCTTTGAAAATGTAATTTTTGTTTGGTCTCAGAATGTGCATGTGGAAACACTGGCTCACCAAGGGTAATCATCTTAAGGGACAGCACTAGTACTTCACTTTGGAATGAAACAGACATTAAGTAAAGGCTGAGTTGCAGAGTTTTTGTTAATGAGTTACAAAAACATAGAGGCATCAGTTCAGATCTACATTTTAAAGATTCACAATTGCAAATAATTTCTTTGTGATTGGGATTGGAGGATTAGAAATAGACACTTCAAAGCACCTTCTCAAATAATGTAAGCTTACTGAAGTTCAGCTTTTCTGCACAGATGAATTTTTAAGACTGCAGTTGATAACAAGAACTTTATATTTAAAGGTACAGGGAATCTATTGTTACACACTGCAAACCACTTTCCTGTTTTAGAAGCATGAACAGAGTTCAGGATGAACATTTTTGCAAAGGTTTGAGACTATTTTTTAGCTGTTGTGGTTTTTGTTCATTGTGCAGTCAGTGGAACAAAATCTGCTGAGGTTGGAAAATTTTACTGTCATAGGTAAAGTATGATGCATACATTTAAAAAAATGTACAGTTACTTCCTGACAACTGTAGAACATACAATACAGTGCTTTTAGAGAAATAAGGTTATCACCTGTAGTAAGTTTCTGAATGAAGAGGTGATGTTCTTCATCATGTAAAATGCAAGTTTTTTCTTTCAGAGATTTCAACTGGATGTTCTCTTTGGCAGGTACGGTTTGGCGCCCTGTCTTTAGCACATACTTTAAAGTGGGTGTTATGCCTGTGTATGATTAGAGGGTTGGATTGATAAGAAACTTTTAAAATTGCCCCTACATATCTTCTAGAGTCCAGAATTGAGAGGTTCCAAGTGGAAAGGCACTGTGTTCTTCTGGAGGATGCAGATTTCACAGGTTTGTGTTGCTAATGCATCTGAAGAAATCACTGTTCTTAACTGCTCTGCTAGGGCATTTGGGAAGGCAAGTTCTTTTTTTGTTGTATCATCCCCTCACTTAAAGCTTTAATTTTTGATGTTTTAGAGTGGCAGCTAACATCAGTTGTAGAGAGGGGCATAGTAGACCAGCTAGAAGTTTGAGACTCAAGTTCTATTTCCACACAAAATAGCTCCAAAAGGAATAGGTTACCCCAGTGTCATTTGGAGAAGATAGAGACACAAATGAGAAGTAATGAAAACAGCCCATGACCAGAAACATCTCTATTCTTCACCAAGTCAAAGAAAGCATTTCCATCCATGTAACTAAATCTTTTCCCTGTTTCCTAGACTTACGGGTTTCTATTTGCCCAGACTGAAGAATCCAAAGTGCTCAAACATGTTTCTTGGAAGGTGTCTCCATGGGTCAGAATCTGAGGCATATTGCTTAGTATCAGATATGGAAGTAGCTTTTTCCTGTAGGACTTCTGTTCCCTCTGCTAATATAAAATGCATTTAATTTATAAATAAAATAATATTTTCATAGTAATTTCAAGTGAATAATAATTATTCTGTCCCAAGTATCTTTAGGGTTTTAATAACGCTTAGTAGTTACCTAATGCTCTTCATTTTTCAAAGCATTTCATTCTCACTAATCTCTACAGTCCTGCTGTGATGTTGGTAGGGAATCAAGTTTTCAGCTTCCAGATTGGAGCCTTCAGTACAGGTCTGTTCAATGCATGTCACAAGACACCAGCCCTCCTACAGAACTACTAAATCAGTTTGTATTTCCGGAAGGCCTGGTTCTTTCTTATTTTTTAAAAGCTATTTGGCTGCAAGAGAGAGCCAGATTTTTTTTCCTTGTTGCTTCTCCCCCTGGCTTGTTAGAACTTGTGTCAGCAAAGCAGCTTCATACCTATTTGATTGGGGATTTTGAGTTCTATCGCTGGAGCTGAAAGGGTATTTCCCCCCTTGAGCCTTTAAGACCCAGTGTCACCTGCATACTTGCAGCATCTGTGGATGGTTAAAATCATAATTAGATTAAACTGTAAGCCTGGGTCATCTTGAATGGTGATTGTGGGCCAGAAGCTTTCTCACATGGTGTGGATCTAGTTAGCAGGGAAGCTTAGCTTCAGCAGTGGATGCCAGTGCTGGATGTTAGACTGCTCTGGTGTTGAGAATTATAGAAGTAAAAATGAAGTGACTCCTGTGCACTGGATGTGGACGTGGTAGAGAGAAACGTTGCTGCAAGTACTCTCAAATCTGTTGTCTTTTCTTGACATTTGCTTATTTGCGTAAAAGAGTTACTGATGGGTTTGTAGCAGATACTGAAACTTCTGAACTATTTTGGTAGCTTTAGCTGATTAGACTGAGAAAAACTAAAATACACCACTCTGAAATCAAGTTTTTGTTCTGTGGGCAATTCTCAGTTGTGTCCTGGCCACGTATTTGGCATAGAGCGGCAAATATCTGTGAATCCTTATTTTTACATTTAACTGAGAAATTCAGAATTTATTACCCATTATTAATTATCACGATGTTTTCATTAGGGTGGGGTTTTTTTTGCTTGGTTTTGGTTTTTTGTTGGTTTTGATTTTTTTTACAGCTTGATAACCTGAGTGAAGTAACAGGATGTTATACCCGGATTTTGGAGGTCATGGGAAAGGAGCCAGGCTTGGAAGGGATTTAGATTTAAATGCTGATTTAGAGTGGAAGTTCTTTGCAGCAAAGACTCTTATTCCATGTGCACAGTACAATGGGCCCCCACGCTCATCTGTTCTTTGGCACATCTGTGATAAATGATACTTTTTACATGGGTACTCTGATTCAGATATAAACAACGTTTTTGTTGTTTTGGGACATGGGCAGGTCTTTGCTTCAGTTCCCGTATGTCTTTTTGAAATCAGATTGTCTAATCAACCAAAGCTGACATACTTCCAGTGTTAATGCTTTCAGGAGAGGCAGTATGTTTGGTTTTAATTTAGACCTAAGAGTTGTGTTGGCTAATAGGCAAACTGATGCTGGAGACATCTGACCTGGCACAGTTGCGAAATGAGTGATACAGACTGCTTCAGCAACATCAGGGAGGTCTATTTGTCCACCTTCAATTCCTGACCAGATTAGTGAGGGCAAACTGGTAGTTGTAGGCAATTTGGAGTCTCAGGAGAGAAATCTTTCTCAAACTAAGCAACAATTTCTCATTTGCTTGTGAACCTAAGGAAAATAGCTTTATTTTAGTCTTCAGGCTTAAGAAAAGAAGAAGCAAAGCTGTCTTTCATAATCCTACCATTTTTCTTTTGACAGGTTTTTGCTCGTCATGACATAAAATCTTTCTGTAACCCCTCAAATCTCACTTAAACTTGTATGGGATTTGTTCAGCCTGTGTTTGAACACTTGACAGTTGTTAGGCAGAAATGGTGGCTACGTGATGTTTTGGCACTGCCTAACAAGTATCAAATGTTAGTGGAAATATACATGTTTCTCAGGAGTTTTAATTTGGAGTCTCAGCCAGCTCTGTGTTTCTCATCTCATCATGATGCTCTGTACTCCATCTACCTGCTTGCTCTCTCCCAGCACATTGTTTAACTAGCTGCATTAATACACAGTAGTTCATGTGGCAGAACTACTTGCTGAAATTACTTTAACAAATGAACTCACGGTGCCTCTCCTGTAGAAGGTACATACATGGGGGTGATAGCAGCAGGTAGGTGTGTTCTTGGCTGAAACAGTGCTGGGAGGACAAGAGAGAAGAATAAGCAGCTAAGGCCTACTGATACGGCTTCTCCTGATTAGATGAGCTGTACCAGCTGGTTCGTGCGTGGTAATGGCATATCAAAAACCTTTGCATGTGCTCTGTACTAAGCTGTGCATGGTCGTGCTCACTTCCACAGCCATGATGTTGCCACTCGTACAATGACTTTGTTCAAAGTCTTCAATCATGTATGTGATTGAGCTGGTAGACATGGCTTCCTAAATTATGTTTATGACTAGTAGCTGTAACATTATACGCTGCATTATAACTAGTAGCTGTGTTGGTTAGAAAGTTGCCTCTCTACACTTTGCAGGGACGTGCACTTTTTCTCTCTAGCTACTGAAGCGATACCTGACCGCTTCATAGAGCCTGGTAACTCTGCGAGAGTATTTTCATCTTGAACAGCAGCCACGTCTGGCAAGCGTGTTCCACTTCACATTGTGCAACGTCGCTGGTAAACAAGCCTTCCAAGTGGTATTGCTGCCACCTTACGTAATTACCAAAGTTGATTTTGGTGCCAGGCAGTACCATGACTAACTCAGTTTCAACAATAGCCCTTTGAGGGCACCTGAGAAATTATTCTGCAGTCACAGCAGCCAGATGGGCAAGCAGAGTTGTACAGAGAGAGTCTACTGGTGTTTATGCCACAAATAACTGATTATATATAGCATGTATATGTGTAAATGTTTCTTCCTAAGTCTCCCTAATGCATTACTTCTCTTAAAATATAGTTGGAGTAGAAAACGTCCTGAGTAAGTACAGAAGTATTAGGGTCTGGTTTTGTAGGAAAGTTTTATATTGTTTCTTCTGAACTTTAACTGTCCTCCTTTGTTCACTTGTTGATGACACAGATGCTTTCTTCATGCCATCATAGTTCATCCTGTGAAAATGACTGAATCACACTATAAACAGAGTTGAAGCAATACCACCAGCGTGGACTGAGAAGCTGTGGAAGTTGTTGAGCTTGTATTTTGAAGTGTGCATGTGTATTTTTTAAGCACACAATTCAAATGGTGGAGGTGGAGCGACAAGAATGGTCTTGCAATGAAGGAAGAAATAGTGGAATCATTTGAGATTTTTTGTCTTGTATCCAAGCACAAGCCTTGAAGTATTATCTAGGTATTCCTGCATGGAGCCAGCTGCCCCCAAAATGGAAAACTTGTTCTGCCAAAAAATTAACCACAGTCTTGCCATGGTCTACAAAATCTTCCTGATACTGAAATGATTATTTCAGTAACAATCGTGGCAGACACACACAAGTAAAGACTGCAGTTGGTTGGACAGTGCAGTTCACTGCATTTGAATTGTGTGTGTTCGGGTGTTTGCTTTTTTATTTGCCTTTTAAGAATGTTTCCAAATGAGATGTATCTAGTTTAATCCAGAGATGCCAGAAAGATGGGCATTTAATAGAAGAGCCTTCAAAATGCTATGTTAACATGGACAAAAATGTATTACTGCTGACAGGATTTCAGGCAGTCATGGTTGCTTAGTATTTATTTAACAGTCATATCCTAAGGCAGATCACTTGGCTTCCTAATTGCTGTCCATCTCTGTAGACCACTGTGTGCTGTGAATAAAGCAGGGTTGGAGAGCCCACTAAAACACCAATGCAGCCAGTAATGTACATATGACTGTATTTTCTGATAAAGGAAAAGTCTTGGCGCCTTACTCAGATTCCACATCACTCTAAATCAGATGTGACCCTACTGAATTGAAATCTGAATCTGGCTGCTGGATTGTAACAAGTTATATCTGGATTTACAAACAGGGGTAAACCTGGTCCCCAGCTACAGGTTGCAGCTCTATCTTAGGTCTGTGTCAGTCATGTTTTTCTGGTGGGGTAGCATCTATACAGATGTTTCTTGGAAACT